AATACCAAGATTCTCAAACTTAGAAAGAAGCTTGCTAAGGTTAAAGCCAGGAACGTAGAGCTCATAAAAGAGATGATGGAAGAGGATAACAGACGTGTTGCTAGAATTGATCTTCTAAAAGTGATTGAGGAGAAATATGCCAGACATGATGTTGAAAAAGCTGAGTTTAAGGCCAAGACCGAAGAGCTAGAGAAAAATAGGACAGATATTATTGCTGAGAATGCTGAACTTAGATCTAGAGTTGTGAAATTGGAACAAGATATAGTGGAACTTAAAAAAGAATTAGAGCTAAAGAAAAATCGTAAGTTTCAGGAGAAGTGTATTCTAATTGCTCAAGTATTCCTTGGAGAAGAACCCATAGTTGAGTATCACCCTCATTTCTTGAATGGATTAGAGCTTGATGCCTTCTTTCAAAAATATCAAATTGCGTTGGAGATGCAAGGGGCTCAGCATCAGCTTCATAGCACTAGCTGGTATAAGGATGTTAAAAAACTCGAAGACATTGTTAATCGTGATCAGCAAAAATGATGCATATGTCAAGATAATGAAATTTCCCTTCTTGAAGTATGGTATGACGAAAAACCTGAAATCGTTATTTCAGAAAGGATACGAAAAATTAAGGAGTTTGTTCCAAAAGTTTTGATATCCTATAATCAATAGTCTTAATATATGTAACTCTACGTTTAATTAACAGATAAATATATTGTGTATCACAGTAAAGGATTCTTAGAATATGGGCGAAATCTAAGCGATGCAAAATGAATTAAAAGTATGTTCTTATTAATTATGCTCCATTATCACAAGCATGAAAACTTCGTTATATACAGCAGGTTTATATTTATTTTTTTATAGCTCGCATATATTAATATTATTATAAAACGTGGTTCTCGACCATTAATTCCTTTTCCGAGACTGTTATGCCAATTCTTGTGATAGCGTCATCTATCAGTCAAGATGTTAGCTTCATCCTTATGAATTTGAGGAGTGCGAGTTGACCTATTTTCATGATGCAGAGGTGAAAATATTGTTGCATACTTCCTTCCTCTTTATATTCTCTTTCTATCTCTATCATTTTCTGCTTACACTATTTCTTATGCATCACGTATTTTAACTCAAAAATAATGTATGTGATACCACGTGAATTTTATTGAAATTAATTATTATATGTAAATTTTTATTAGATTAAAATGACATAATGGAGAATTGGTTTAACGTGTAAACACATTTTATATCACTGGTCACAGCTATAGAATTTTAGATATTTAGCACTTACTTTTACCTAAGTTCTCAATCGTGCTAATTTTTTTGCATTAATTAACTCAGAGTATCGGGTTACTCTTCTTTTCTTTCTATGTTTAATAAACTCCTCTCGTGTTGAATTGACATATAACTATATATTAATGATTAATTGATGTGAACGTATAAAAACATAAAATGCAGATAATGTATGCAAATACTTACAGCCCACTTAATTACAGCCTCATACATCTATACAAAGTTTGACATATCAATCCAATCTTTCAGTATTCTGAAATGATCAATCTCAAACAACCTATGAACGCTTGAAGTTGAATGTGTTAACTTCTCGGTTGTGTACAGCATTTCAAGTGCAAATTTACATAATACTTACTGTAAAAATCCATCATTGTGAGTGACACTTCTGTTTTAAATGCAATCAGGCTGTATATTTTCAGATTCGTAAAAAGCTGGTGACGAGAATCAGCTTCTGCTATTACAATATTATTGTAAAGCGCTTTTATGCTTTTGGCATTTTTATCATCGTCATCAATGCTTTTTTTCTGGGATGCTCCTGGTCTAGCCCCCTCGCCACAGATGATAGGATAATTGATTACGTCATGGGATGCATGAACTGATTAAGGTGTGGTTTTTCAAGGATTGTCATATCCCTCAAGGGATTGAGACCTGCCAACGAAAATGCTTTTAAACTGGAAGGAGTGGTATAAATGTGAATAATAAATTCAGAAAAATGAATTATGTAAGTCTTCTTTATCCTTACAATTTTGGAAGAGTTTCTTTTATCAGCTTCTTGGTTTTTCCTAACATTTTCGAATCATCATTATTAATGGTCATATCATCAATGGCTTCAGCCCAGCCTCCTGCACTTCGGTCTTCATTGAAAAATATGACGAGAAAATCATGAATCTCATCTGTTACGTATCTGTTATCAATTGGATCAAAAATTTCATGCAATATTTCCATTTGAAGCTTCGAATTTAGAGCTAATGAAAATTCTGTTCTTGGGCGTAAATCCATAATTGTAGTAGTAGAAAAGTTTTTTAAGAAAAATTCTGCAGTAGCCTTTTTAACAGTCAAAGCTGTCATCAAATCCTCAAGTATGCTTTTTACACATATCATCTATACAAATGGACAAAAAAATCGCCTTTTTACTAAAATACTGATAGAAATATCATAAGAGTAACTTACACTACCTTCTCATTTTCATCTACTTTAACTTCATCTTGTATACTCTCAGTAGTCTGTTCTATGCTTATATTTCCACCATCTACTTGCACACTTACTCCTTCTTCCCTTACAACTTCGACAATTGAGTTTTTAATGACTTCATTGTTATGATCCTGTGAATCAAGGAGTCACAATGAACATATTGTATTAATTCACATTCAATTTGAAGATGAGATGTCATATTTACCACTGTGAATATTTTACTGGTTTCTTTTACTACCACTATTTTATCCGTAATAACACTTTTTTTAACATTTGTCGCGTAATGTTTCTATAATAATGCATCAAATTAACATTTTAACATTCTAGAAAATTCTGATAATGGATGGAATTATTAACAAACCTTAGCAAATTTAACATCTTGTTAGTCTAGGAATTCATTAATATCTATGCGAGTTAGAGTTTGCTTCAAAGATTCACAAAGTTTATTAGCTTTATTTCGTGCTGCCTTTTTGACATTGTCGTCATTGGATTTTCTGATTAAATGTCGCTTGAAGATATCAACGATCTCTTCTATACTTTCACTTGTGTATTCCATATTCTCAGCCAAATATCGTAGAACTCCAATTAAACTCCATTCGGCAGATTACTTTGACTCGAGATAGTTCACAATATTCTTTTCAAACTCCATTCTTAAGGTTAGAAATTGATAAATTTCTCTGAAGATTGTGGGAGAGATTTAAGAAATTTTTACGTCTTGGAT